TTTCCCCCCCCCCCCCCCCCCCCCCGCTCTCACGACATGGGTCTTGTGGTTGCACTAATTAATCTCTGCGATTTACTTTTTTGGTAGAAAGCAAAGATTCCGGTACCCGTAACAAACTAAACGCAGTTTTGTCAGTTTTAGAAAGAGACGAACGAAGGAATTGCTTGAGGCCCAAATTAGGCTCAGTTATTTGCACCTTAGCTAACTGTTTCTGGCCCAGCATGTAATGTTTTGGCTTACCTTTGCAAGAAAGAAGGGCACATCGTAAGTCGGGTCTTTGTGCAGGTTGGCTCGAGATTGTTCGACGTTGTACTCGTTACTGCTAAATCCCATGGATTTTGTTTAAAAATTCCATGGATACCGTATCCCTTTCAGCGCTTCGTTATCGGATTAATGTGAAATTGGCGGCCGAGAGAAGCTTGTTTTTGAAGAAGGATGCATCATCCAGTGGCTGCTCCATCATTGTGGCCAATATTCCACCGTACATCTCCACGGTAGAGCATGATGTCATTTTTATGCGGTTTTTGAATGCAATACAAAAACGTATATTGGCGAGGGGTTGTCTGTGTGTCCGTGTGTCTGTATGTGCGTCTGTCACGCACTTTCATCTCAAGACCTATAAAAGCTGCAGGGCTGAAATTTGGGAAACTTAATCTACATGCACGTGCCGGCCCCAATCCCCAAAACTGGCCCCATCACCCGCGTGATACCCGTGCACGGGTCCGGCAAGATTTTTTTCGGGTAAGTTCATAACTCGGGGATCTGAGAACCTAGAATGCTGAAATCTTAGGGTGATGTTTCACGTCCAGCTGGGTGTTAATGCACTCAAATCCATCCCCCAACTAAGCTTGGTACCCGCGTACAGACCCACCAAAATTTTTACGGATAAGTCCATAACTCGGGGATTTGAGAAGCTAGAATGCTGAAATCTTAGGTAGACGTCCCCTGTCCAAGTAGGTGATAACTCAGGAGCCTGGAAAGCTAGAAAGCTGAAATTTTAAGGGAGTGTTTCCTGCCAGTTCTGGCAGCCATTCGTAATTTGTTCAGCTAGAAGCATTTGCCGAAAAAACCGATGCCGATAGCGACAAAAATTGCGGGAAACTATGCAAAAAACGCATCTTCGCACGGGCAGCTCGTGCGTTGCCCAGTTATTTTAAGATTCAGTTTTTAGCAGTAAATTAGAGAGCAAATGGCTTGTGATGAGAGTGGTAATTTTTAGTTGGATTGCAGGATTCACTGGGGCGATTGTTGGCGGAACTCGGATCTGGTGCTCCGGAGGAAGTCATAAAGCAGCGAAATGTTGCCTCCGCTGATGATCAACACTTTGTAGATGTGAGAATTGCGTTATTTTTGTCAGTTTTTGATTTAAAAGCCTTGCACGCACATTACATTCTGTGGCGGTCGTGCTTCTTTAATTGCAGGGATACTACACGGCATGTGCTCGTTTCAAAAGTGAGCATTTAGTGGGACAGGCTTTACGACGCTGTGCGGCAATTCCCTGTATTTGTTTGAGTGATATTGGCATTGAGCCAGCTAAATGTGGAGTAACAAGTAAGGCTTTTTTATAAGAATATTTTGTGAAAACGGTGGTTTAATGCAACCCTGCGGGAAGGGAGGAGAGAATAAGCGACAGGGCATGATTGCCGATGATGGAAAATGCGTTAAAAAAATGGAAAATGCACTCCTCCAGCCCCCTCTCCCCCCTCCCCCCCTCCCCTCGCTTCTTGCTCCCACTGCTCCATCATTTTCACAGTCCAGTATTGGTTATTAGTCAGAACATTTCCCCCCTGGTGAAGAAATTATGAAAGTTTTGGAATTTAACTAATATAATTTATTATTTTTAGAATTTTGTGCGAAATACAGGAATGCTTATAAAACGATGGATGAATTACAGCACGGCGTCGAATCGTACATGTCGAAGCATGATGCTATACAAAACGAGGTATGGTAACTTCTCTTTTGATAGTCACCATAATATTTAACTATTCCAGAGAGGTCATTATCCCTGGCTTAAAACTCTTTTGCTGTATGTGACCACTCAACTCAGCTGACTAGTTTTGTAAATGTCATTGCCTGTTCTCGTTGCTACATAATTTATAATTGTTAGTGGCAAGTCTTGCTTCTGGTAAAATTAGCCGAATCCAAATTCAAACTGTGCGCGAAATCGTCGGCTTTAAATTCGTTCTTTCTCAGAGAAATCCTGTTTTCCTATTTAATTTATTATTTTCGAACTCTATCTAAAGGAGAGTTAATTCGGTCTGAGAAGCACAAATATCGGTACATTTGTGTCTTTCAGATAGTCTTTACTTCCCGCTGCTTAAAAAAAATGACTTTCTTGCCGCATTTTCTGGCTCACTGCTCAGCCTTTCTTATCATGTAAGCAGTTTCTGTGTTCTTTTAATTCGCCTTTCGTGTTTCAGAAAAAACGAAATTTGAAGAGGATGGCGAATGTTCCGGACGAGGAGGGATGGATCACCGTGACAAAAACGCGTACGTTCTCCTTTCCACTGAACGATAAAAATGAATTTCCGTTTAAATCGACGAGAAACAACGTAAAGTACAGCTATGCCAGCGTACAAGTGCTTGCTTAATACAGCATAGAATCGGTACTTTTTTTAGGACGTACCATGCTTGGGTTTGATGTTTACCGCAGATACCGTAAGGGGAAAAGTGAGATTAGTCAAATGGGATGTCTTGCAAAACATTGAACCATTTCAGACTACAAACGCTTGCCACCGGCTATTGTTGTGCGAAACAAGGAAGATCTGCGGAAGCTATCAAAAAAGAAGAAACGTGTGGTATGTATAACGTATAAATTTATTGTTACTCCAACTCCGGTTTCGACAAAAATTGTTTTAATTGATTCTAAATTGCCTATTGCTACACGGCGCTTCCTCGCCCCGTGACACTCGATCCGCCACTATGAAGTTCTCGATATTGCGAAGACGCAGGGATTCACGAATCCATAATGGTGCTTTATTTTCAGGAAGAAAACATTGCTTTTTATTCGTTCCAGTTGAAGGAGTCCAAAATGAAACGTGAGCTGTTTTTTATGCAGTGCAACAATGATTTTGCTATTATTTCCCGTAGTGCAGTTAGTGCAAATGAATCCCCTTGGATGTTATCCCTCATACATGGGTTTTCAGATTTGGAAGAATTACGACGAAAGTTCGCAGAAGATAAGGAAAAATTAGCAGTAGCGAAAGCTGCGAGGAAGTTCCGCCCGACCTGAAATACCTTGTTTTTATGCGTTTTGTGCTGTGTAACAAAACGCATATTGTCTGTGTGTGTGTGTGTGTGTGTGTGTGTGTGTGTCCGCAGCAACTTGGCCGCAGCTTTCAACTCAGGAACCGCAAAAGCTAGGAAGCTGAAAATTTAGGGGAACGTTACCCACCCACGTGTGACCCCGCAAATTCAAATTCACCCTTCCCGTACTCGTGGGTAACACATACGGCCCCGTGAAAGTTTTTTACGGGTAAATTAATATCTCGGGAACCACGGAGTCTAGGA